CCAAGGACGTGCATTACCTGTATCTGTGAACCTGACACCTGAGAAGCCCAGCAGATATGAGCAGTCCCTGCCATTTAGTCAGCAGCTCATGTGTGCCAGCAACCCTGTCAGGACTCTGTTTTGTAGATCCAGCCTTCATTCACAGATGGGGAGACTGAGGCCTGCAGAGATGAGGCAGGGCTGAGCTTGAAACCTGAACTGGGGCCTGTCCCTCCCATCTCTTTGCTTGCTTGTTACCTCTATGGTGGAGGCAGACTGGGGACCAGATCTGGGAGGGAGGGGCTGTGAGGGTGTGTCTCTCCTCTGCCATCGCGTTGGGCAGAGCTGAGGGTGCTGCCATGGGGGGCTTGGTGGGGCAGAGGTGGGTGTCAGCAATGGTGTTGGTGACAAGTCTGCTGGGGCCTCCCTCCTGTCTCCCCACTAGAGAGCAATGTGTAGGCCTGATACGTGGCAGCTGTATCTGGCAAAATGCTCAGATGGAGTCCAGGAGAGGGTTGCCATGGGAACCAGCTTCAGCCCGGGCCTCGGGCATATAATGGCCGAAATGTGGAGCATGTGACACAGGAAGGGGCAGTCGCTGGTGGGGACAGTGGTGGCTTTTGCCGAGGCACATTCTCATCCCCATGGGCCCTGGGGTGAGGCTGGGCTACAGGGCAGACCTGCAGGTAGATGGTGGCAGTAACACACCTGTGCCTGCGGAGGGCCATGCCTCTTAGTGGTCAGGAAGACCGACTCAGACTCCCATCCCAGCTGTGACGCTTCTTGTCAGCATGTGACTGGGGCAGGTTTCTTTATCTCCCTGTGCCTCAGTTTTCTCATCTGGAAGACAGGGATGAGGAATGGGAGCCACCTTGGGTTGGTGACGAATGAATGAGTTAATATGTTAGTGTACCTAGGATTCTGTTGGGCACAGAGGCAGCTGTTCAATGCTAGCCTCTCATGCCTTGAGGGCTGTGATGGGGTCTTGGGTCTCTGGGACCTCAGAGGGGGCTGACCCTGTGTGCTACATGCCTGCCTCCCGAGGAGCTGTTCGCATTGCCAGGCTGGGAACTCCCTGAGGGAGGGGCTTGGGGGGCACTCACCTGGTCCTCATCCTTGAGCTCAGCATAGACAGGTGGATGGGCCCTTCTTGGCCAGAGGGAAGTTTTCAAAGCCCCAATCAGATCATGTCACATTCCTGCTCAGAGTTTCCTCTGGCTTCCCCTCTCTCCTTGAACAAAATCTAAACCATATTCCCTTACATGGCCTGTGTCCCTCTGCCCCCTAACACTGCATCTGTGACCCCACCCCCCTGCCTGCTCTTTGCTTACTCTCTCCAGCCACCGTGGCTTCCTCACTGTTCCTTGGCACCTTCCTGCCTCAGGGCTTTTGCACTTGGCATTCCCGCTGTATATACCCGCTGTATATACCCATCCATTCATTCACTTACCACACTGCATCTGTGACCCCACCCCCCTGCCTGCTCTTTGCTTACTCTCTCCAGCCACCGTGGCCTCCTCACTGTTCCTTGGCACCTTTCTGCCTCAGGGCTTTTGCACTTGGCATTCCCGCTGTATATACCCGCTGTATATACCCATCCATTCATTCACTTACCATGTGTTTATTGAGCTCCTCCTGTTGGTCAGGCATTGTGTAGGGAGAGGTAGACAGCCACCCAGCACTGTTTGGACCAGAGCAGTGCACAGTCTGATGAGGAGACAGATGGTGACCAACCAATAAGCAGAATAGCTGCATGTTGTGGTCAGTGCTGTGAGGGAGATATGCAAGGGAGCATGATGGAGGGAAGGTGGTCAGGGAGGGCTTCCTGGAGGAGGTGCCGTTTGAAGCTGCGCCCTGACAGGGGAAGTTGAATAGTCTGGGGGAAGGACACTCTGAATGGAGGGAACAGCATTTGTGTGTGTCCCCAAGGTAGGGAAGGGACATGTGTGGCTGGAGTGCAGGGAGTCTGGGGGCACACTTGAGAGGCTGGCTGGGCCCCCTGAGCCAGGCTCAGGGCAGGGGCCTGGTTCTTTGGGGTGACAGGTGTGAGCAGTGTTTAGAGGGGACAGGGAGCCTTGGAATGATGAGGGTTGAGCTGGAGCCCAGCTGATCACAGGGTTGAAGTATGTAGGCATTTCATGTTTCTTCGGGAGACTACCCAAATTTGTAGGGAGTGGACTGGGCCTAGTGTCCCTGGAGATGGCAGGTTCTCCGAGATGGGTCCAGGCAGCAGGCAGGTTTCTGGTGGCAGGTGGCACCTGGGATGGGAAACCCTTGAGGCGGTGGGCAGTGACAGCCAGGGCCGTGGAGAGGTGTTCAGGACCAGGAAGACAGAGGGTTTGGGGCCAAGCCCAGTTTGCACTCCAAGCACCTGTCTCTTCTGGGAGCACAAGGGGCACTGTGTCCAAAGGCTGTCCCAGCCTCCAAGAGGACCGTGCAGGCATGAGGGTGGCCGCCTCAGGTGGCCAAACTCTTGGGAGTCCATAGGCCTGGGCAGCTGTCTCCCCTGGGAGAAGGAAGCTTGAGTACCTGCCCTGATTTCTCAGCACAGCCTGGGGTCTCTGGGGTGGCCCTCCATGCCCCAGCCCTGCCTGAAGCTCACTGCTGCACTTCTGGGCCTCAGTTTCCCCCCTGAGGTTCAGGGGCAGGGCCCCTTGCAGTCCTGCCATTCTTCTTAGTGGTCTTGCTTAAGGGGGGGTGGTGTGGGCCCAGGCTCTGCTTTGATACAGGAGCCACATTGCCGAGGTTGGCCAGGGGAACCCTAGCTGGCTCACCCCAAACTGCAGGTGACACTGCCCTTCGGCTCTCAGCTTCCCCACCCTCTTGTCTGCCTTTCATGCGACTTTACACTGGCATAACTGAAGTGTCTGCCCAGCGCCTCTGCTGACTGTGGCCTGGTGGAGAATGATTTAGCAGGAAGACAGGGAGTCAGACAAGTCGGGGAGACAGTCTCCCTTGCCTGCCTTGCCCTGCTGAACAGTCCACTTCATTGTTTAAAAGTGCACGGTGGTCCCCTGTTGTCCATGGCTCACCTCCAGAACTTCTAGGTGGCCTCTGAGGCTTGTACCATGTGGCTGTGCCACCCCATCTCCAGCTGTCTCTACTGATGCTCCCCCTCCCCATGCTAGGTTGCCTGGCTGTCCCCCATGAGCTTGGTCCACGGGCGTCTGGGTTGTGTGGCTGTGTTCTCTCTCTGGGCTCCTCTCCTCTGGCTCTGGCATTGGCAGGTCCCCACTTTCCTAGAGGACCAGCATCCTTGAGCCTCTCCTGGGGGCTCTGCTCTTCGGGAGCTCCTGGAGAGATGAGGGAAAGACACTCGATGGCTGCATTCCAAGTGGGATCTTTGCTCACAAGGTCATGAGCATGGCACTGCTGTAGACTCCAGTGAGGACGCTCTGGTGGGGACCTCACTTCCAGTAGAATCATATCTCTGGGCTGGGGGGTACTGAGAGCCGCCTCCCTCTGAGACGGTTGCTAATGGTCCTGAGAGTGCAAGGCTGGTGGGGTCCTGGCTGACTGCTGTCGTTGCCCACAGTAGCCCTGTGTGGGTGGGTGGGCATCAGCCCACCCCTCTCCCTTGCATCCCCAGGGACCCTGAGAGGGGATAATAAGCCAGACCTAAACCATGGTGAATGGTGCCCCGAGAACTGATGAGCAGGTGTTTCTCAGCCACACAGTGGTGTGGCCTGTACGGCCAGTGGCAAGCTGCCTCACGTGCCCTTGCCTGCCCAGTGTTTACCGACTACTGGCTCACGGTGTGAACACCAGGAAGAGGGGCTGGGACAGTATGGCAGGGACAAGGAGGGACAGTGAGGGACAGATGGTGCCCTTCACGGGCTCCTACCCCTCCTCTGCTTGCTGTCCCCTCCCTGTTAGTAACTGGCCATGTGCCGGGCCTGGGACTCAGGGACCCACCTTCTGAGGGGCTGGGACAGTATGGCAGGGACAAGGAGGGACAGTGAGGGACAGATGGTGCCCTTCATGGGCTCCTACCCCTCCTCTGCTTGCTGTCCCCTCCCTGTTAGTAACTGGCCATGTGCCGGGCCTGGGACTCAGGGACCCACCTTCTCTGCTATGTGGGTGGGGGTGAGGAGCTCATGGGAGGTGCTGCCGGACCGAGGGCATGGATGGGCAAGCCGGGTGGCATCGCTCTGGGGACATGGCCACTGCCCCTCAAGTGGATAGTGTTCTTTGCTTTTACTTTTCTATTTTGATTTTTTAAAAATTAGCTATGTGTATTTATATCGTCTTGGAGTAGACAGAACTGTGTGGATCTCAGTCTGGTGGCTGGTTTCCCATGACCCAGTCTGGCTGTGCTTCCAAATGGCAATGCCACTTTTTTGGGGTTGTGGTTTCCCATCCATCTTGACCCTGCCATGTCCTCCCCAATCTCCACCCCAGAACTTGCCTTTCCGTCATTGAAACAGTGTTAGTGAGTAATGCTCGGCCTCATGTTGTATTGTGATGTGATATGTTTTATAATGTTTTATTGTAATATGCATGGCTATAGGTCTAATTATTGCCACAGTTGTCTGTACAGGTGACAGAGGCAGTGTCTGTGGCAGGGGTGAGGCTGGGGATGAAGGTGATGGAGGGGAGGTTTCTTGGCACAGAGGACCCCTTAGTGGGGTTTAAGAGGAACTTGGTGAGTTGTAAGGAAAGGTGTTCCAGGCTGAAGAAACCACATGGATGGCTGTGGAGGGCTTGCTGGAGGCTCTGAGGGTCCCAGGAAGGGGTGAGGGCAGTAGGGGAGGGGAGCTAAGTGGGAGGCCCGTGGGGTGGGCTCACTTCCTCCTGGCCCTCCAGGACACAGCCGGGCTGATGATGACTGTGCAGACGATCGGGCCAGGCACCGGGAAGAACCGCTGCTTGCGGGGCGGCTGGACCGGGACCAGGAGAAGCTGCTCAGGTGAGTGCTTGGGGGCAGCTGGGGGGTGTGGTCTGGAAGCCCCTGGGGGTGAGGGTCAACTAGATGACCCCAGGTGGGCTTGGCCTCGTGACTGTGGATGCTGAGGTCCTGAGAGCTGATGTAGCCCTGGTTGAGGACCTGGGCCAGGTGGTACCCACTGCCCCTTTCCAGTGAGTTTGGAAGGCTCTGGGGTGGGGCCCTTCTTTTCTGAGCCTGAGAACTCACTTCTTTATGGTAGTTGTCCTGACAGATGGCCTGGGTGACCCCCAACTCCTTGGGGTGATACCGTTTCTCTCCCCCGTCCCCCGGGGCTGCCTGGGCTGCCGCCAATGCCTCTGTATCCCCATTCCAGAGAAAGTAAGGAGCTGGCTGACCTGGCCCGCCTGCACCCCACCAGCTGTGCTCCTAATGGCCTGAACCCCAACCTCATGGTGACTGGGGGCCCGGCACTGGCAGGCTCAGGTCGCTGGTCTGCTGACCCTGCAGCCCACCTGGCCACACACCCCTGGTTGCCACGCTCGGGTAGCACATCCATGTGGCTTGCTGGACACCACTACGGTGAGTGTGGGGCAGGGCGACCCCTTTTTTCTGGAGGAAGGTGGACAGGTGTCAGGATGGGAGCTCAGAGCTGGCCCCTGTGATCCCTTGGCTGGGAAGCCTGGGCTAGGCTTTCTCTCCTCTTCATAATTCAGCTCCCACATTTGTCTAAAGATGGAATTATAATGGCATTTGCCTCATAGGGTCCCCCCGCCTTGCCCATCTGGGGCAGGTGCCATTCAACAGCAGGGGGCTCTGTGGGTCTATTTGCAGTCAGCTACCACCCCTGCCCCCTTGGCTTCCTCCTGGAGACTGCAGGATGTTCTGGGACTGGGGATCTGGGCAGTGTAGGGCTGGGCTGGACCCAAAGGTGGGGTGCTGGTCCTGGGGCTGCCCTCGGGCGGTCTGGGGCTTTCCAGCACTGACATGGGACTGGTTTTCTCCTCCTAGGCTTGGGCCCCCCTTCTCTGCACCAGGGCATGGCACCTGCATTTCCACCTGGCCTGGGAGGCTCCCTGCCATCGGCCTACCAATTTGTCAGAGACCCCCAGTCAGGCCAGCTGGTGGTTATTCCCAGTGATCACCTGCCTCATTTTGGTAAGTGGACACCCTGTGGTGTTGGGCAGGGGCTGCGGCTGATTTTGCCCAGCGAGACTGTCCCTGGTGGCCCAGCAGAGTGGGGTGGGAGGTAGACTAGGGCTAAGAGAGAATGATCTAATGGCAGTGGTTCCCACATGTTAAGCCTTGGGGTCCTTGTTTCAATGAATTGTTTCCTAGAAACCCCATCAGGAGAACCAGAGCAGGGCAGCTCTCGGTGGGGGCTTGAACCCCCCATCTGGTGCCCCCATCCCTGTGGGAATCCGCTTTGCAGACCATAAGTCTGCAGTTGGTGAGCTCCAGCTGTAGGTCTTGGGGACCTCCCATTTGGAGTGTGGACAGGACTTGTGTTTCCCGGGCATGGGGTGTAGTGCACATGTGGCAAGTGGAAAAGACAGGTGTCCTGGGCCCCAGGAAGCAACCAGAGGCCCAGCAGAGCCCAGCTCTGCACCTGTGTGGATGCTCCCTCTGTGGGCCTCAGTTTCCCCATCTGTAAATGGGTGGCAGGAAGACTGGAGCAGTGTCAGGACACAGGTGCAGCCCACTGTCTGTCTGTCTCCCCAGCGGAGCTGATGGAGCGGGCCGCAGTGCCACCCCTCTGGCCTGCTCTGTATCCACCGGGCCGCAGCCCCCTGCACCATGCCCAGCAGCTGCAGCTCTTCTCCCAGCAGCATTTCCTGCGGCAGCAAGAGTTCCTGTACCTGCAGCAGCAGGCGGCCCAGGCCCTGGAACTGCAGAGGAGTGCCCAGCTGGTGGTAAGTCAGGGATCATGCAGTGAGCCCCCTCCTAGAGCCCCTATCAGTGGTGAGGCCGACAAGTTAGCCAGCAGAAACTCCACACATTTACAGACCTTGAGGGAGGAAATAGCAGAGAGGTGGGTGGTCAGGGAAGGCTTCCTGGAGGAGGTGATGTTTGAGCAGAGAGCTGAAGGAATCAGCCATGGAAGACCCTCCAGGCAGAGGGGACAGTGTGAGCAAAGGCCCAGAGATTGATGGAGCCTGGCAGTAGCAGGGCACAAGGAGAGTGGAGAAACCAAGGCAGAGGTCACCTTGTGGAGTGGGGAAGTTTGGATTGGACACAGAAAGGATCCCAGTGGGCTCCCACTGTTGCCTGAACCCAGGCTGGCCTCTTCTCTCCAGGTGGCCTCTCAGAGCAGGCACAGGAGGCCTAGCTGCTGCCTGCTTGATGGCCCTGGGCTCCCCTCTTGGGCCAGGGCTGGCCTCCTAACACCCGAGTTGCCTGGTCCCATAGTACAGGGGATGTGAGGGGTTCCTGCGTGTGGTTGGAGGACTCCCTAAAGTTCACAGTTCTCCCGTCTCATTGAGTTCTGGGATGTCTGTCCTTCACTTGGCCTTGTCCCCTCCTCTCTTGCACAGTGGCCACTCTGGAGAGGTAAGCCTGGGTGATACCTGTAGTAAACGGTTCTTGGGTCCCCAGCCCTGGCTTTCAATTTTAGCACTGCCAGGCCCGGCTGTGTGCCCTTGGGCAAGTGACTTCACTTCTCTGGGCTTCAAATGTTCTCCTTCAGAGAACAGAGGTGCTGGTCATTGGGTTGTTAAATGTGGTTTAATAATCATAAGAGTAGCTAGTCCTTGAGCATTTCAGCTGTGTGTATTTATGTGCTAACTGCCTGGCCCCAGTTAGATGATGGCTGTCATCAGCCTGGCTCCCTCCCTTCCATTTTGGCATCAAGAACAGGAACAGACTCCTCCTGCCCCCTTTGAGGGAGGTGTTTTGAGCAGGAAAGTGCACAGCAGGTAGTGAGCACTCTGCGAAGGCAGCTGTCCTAACGCTGGGAAGGGGCCTGGGCGTGGGGCAGCCCCTTCATCTTCAGGAGCCTCACGCCTCCACCCGACCCCCTCTCCCTGACTGTGAGGGTCCTAGCGGGGCCAGGGTCGAGAAAGAGGTCTCCCACCAGCTCTGGTGGGAAGGGGCTTTAGGTCCACTGAGGCTCTGCCCCCCACCCCCAGCCCTGCCTCGTGGGGTTCTGCACAGAACACTGTATTTGTTACACGTGTACTGTGATGGAATGGGGAGGGGTGGGTAGTCTGGATCCTGGACCCTGCCTGAGGTTCTCCCCAGGCTGGGGGACCCCCGAGACAGGGTAGGTGCTGGATGGTGGCTCCAACCACACTGACCTTGCCTGCGGCCCCCTCCCCAGCAGGAGCGGCTGAAGGCCCAAGAACATCGGGCGGAGATGGAGGAGAAGGTGAGCAAGCGGAGCCTTGAGGCCTCGGGCAAAGCCGGCCTGGCTGCTGCAGGCCCGGGGTTGTTGCCTCGGAAGCCCCCCGGCCTGTCTGCTGGCCCCGCGGGCACCTATGGCAAGGCCGTGAGCCCACCGCCGTCTCCTCGCGTATCCCCTGTGGCTGCCCTGAAGGCCAAGGTCATCCAGAAGCTGGAGGACGTTTCCAAGCCACCCACCTATGCCTACCCTGCCACGCCCAGCTCCCATCCCACCAGCCCACCGCCTGCCTCCCCACCACCCACCCCTGGCATCACCCGCAAGGAGGAGGCACCTGAAAATGTTGTCGAGAAGAAAGACTTGGAGTTGGAGAAGGAAGCCCCCAGCCCCTTCCAGGCCTTGTTCTCAGGTAGGAGCATGGTTGAGACCCCAAGGTGTGTGTGAGTGTGTAGTCAGTTCTCGCTGCCAGAGAAACTGATCCCCCATCTGTTTATTTACTTGTTTATTCATTCATTCTGTCTCTATTGAGTACCTACTGTGTACTGGCCTGCTGCTAGATTCTGGAATGAATGCATGAGCACACAGTCAGTCTCTGCAGCTCTCCTTCAGTGGCAATTCAGGGAAAATGGGTGTATTATTAGGACCTACTCCATAAAGAGTTGTTTTGAGTATTAACCAAAGCCAGACCTGTGAAACACGTAGTCAGTGCTGTTACCATGTTGGTAATGACAGGACAGAGAGTTCTAGGCCCCATCCCCGCTTGGCAGTGTGCCGTGTGCACACACACACGTTCTTCTCATGTCCCATGTCAGTGGGGACCTGCAGCAGGTGGCTTTGGGGGCTGGGACTTGTATTCCTCCTCTGCAGGGGCTATTAAGACACTGTGAGCTCGCACTTGGAGGACTTGGGATCAGATTCAGATTCTGGCACCAGTGCTGTGTAAGGTTGGGCAAGTGGCTGCCCCTCTGTGAGGGGATTCTATGTGATGTTGCTGTCCAGTGCCTGGCCCGCGAGGAGTGCTCCAGGCTTCTCTCTCCCCTTGGTCAGGTTCCCCATGAGCATCGACAGCCTTGCCCAGGTCTGTGTGGGTCTGCAGATGCTGTAAAGACTCGGCGCACACAGCCCCGTTCATGGGGAAACTGCCCTCGGGGGCAGTGGGAGGCAGAACTGTCTCACTCTTACGTTTTGCACAACGGCTTGCATAATGTGGGGCAGCAGGTTCTTGTGGGACGGAGGCCAGAGACCTCACAGGCTTGGTGGGGTCTGTTTTGGGTCTTTGTGGACATTATTGAGCATTTGCTACTGGCCCAGCCTTGCGCTGGTTGCTGGAGGTGGGAGGAAGAGAGAGGACTGTGGTTTTTGCCTTTGAGACCACAAGGCCTTTGGAGACGAGATGGTGGGTGATTTTTCTCTCTGTGGCCCAGACATGGAGAAGCGCTGTGAGGTTTCTCAGATGCCACCTGAAGAGCTCCCAGCCCTGCTGCCGGCGAAGCAGAGGGTGGCTGTGTCCTGGGTCTCTGTCTTGGGTGGAGGGTAGGTGTTGGTGGGAATGGGGGAATGCCAGACCCCTGGGAGTGCCATGCTGACCCTCAGTGTCCTCGGCAGATATCTCCCCCAGGTACCCATTTCAAGCCCTGCCGCCGCACTACGGAAGGCCCTACCCATTCCTGCTGCAACCCACAGCGGCCGCTGATGCAGACGGCCTGGCCCCTGACGTGCCGCTCCCAGCGGATGGGCCTGAGCGCTTGGCACTCTCGCCCGAAGACAAGCCCATCCTACCCATTCCTGCTGCAACCCACAGCGGCCGCTGATGCAGACGGCCTGGCCCCTGACGTGCCACTCCCAGCGGATGGGCCTGAGCGCTTGGCACTCTCGCCCGAAGACAAGCCCATCCGCTTGTCGCCCTCCAAGATCCCTGAGCCGCTGCGGGAGGACCCTGAGGAAGAGCAGTTGGCTGAACGGGAGGTGAAGGCAGAGGTGGAGGACATGGATGAGGGCCCTGCAGAGCTGCCCATGCTGGAGTCACCACTGCCACTGCCTGCAACGGAAGCCATGGCAGCCCAGAGCCCCTCGGGCAGCTGCGGAGGGGGTCTTCTGGAGGCCCAGGTGCTGAGTACCTCCAGACAGGGGTGTGCAGAGCCCTCCGAGTGCCCAGACTTTGTGGAGGGGGCTGATGCACAAGTGGATTCGCCGGGCCGGACAGAATCCCATGCGGCTGCCCTGGACCTGGGGGCGCAGCTGACGCCCCAGATGCTGGTTGAGGCTAAGGAGGAGCCGGTGGAGGTGCCCCTTGATGTGCCTATGGAGCTGCCTGTGGTGAAGGCAGTGCCTGAGGAAGGCCTGGCCCAGGCGACCCCGAGCGAGCCCCAGCCCAGCCTAGAACTGTCAGAGTGTGATGTGCCTGCCATGGAGGGACAGTGCCTGAGTCTGGAGACCCAGGAGGCTGCACCTGTATCCAGTGGCACCTGCTACCTGGAGGAGGCGAGCTCCGACCAGTTCCTGCCCAGCCTGGAAGACCCACTGGCTGGTATGAACGCCCTGGCAGCAGCTGCGGAGCTGCCCCAGGCCAGGCCTCTTCTGTCCCCAGGTGCTGGAGCCCAGGCTTTGGAGAAGCTGGAAGCAGCTCAGAGCCTGGTGCTGGAGCAGAGCTTCCTACATGGCATCACCCTGCTGAGCGAGATTGCAGAGCTGGAGCTGGAAAGGAGGAGCCAGGAGGTGGGAGGTGAGAGTGCTCTGCAGTTGGGTTCTGTGGGTTCTTCTTTTTTTTTAAAAAATTTTTTGTAAAATTAAAAAAAATTTTTTTGAAAACCCTCGGAATATGATTTATTCATGGTTATTTAAAAAAATTGTGGTATGGGCTGGACTGTAACTCACTTGGGAAAGTGCGGTGCTGGTAACACCAAGGCCACGGGTTCAGATCCCTATATAGGGATGGCCGGTTAGCTCACTTGGGAGAGCGTGGTGCTGACAACATCAAGTCAAGGGTTAAGATCCCCTTACTGGTCATCTTTTAAGATAGATAGATGATAGATAGATTAGATAGATTAGATAGATAGATAGA